GAGGAGGAAGAGAGAGAGACTGAGACAGACTCTGTCTGTCTCTGCCTGCCTGCCCCCCTTTTCCCTTCCCCCTTCCCCATCCTCTCTTTTTTTTTTTTTGTTTTTGGGACAGGGTCTCACTATGTAGTTCAGGCTGGCCTTGAACTCAAGTCCAACCTGTCCTAGAATTTACAGCAGTCTTTCTGCCTGTGCCTTTCAAGGCCTGGGATTATTGTTTGTTTTTGACTATAATGTAAGGTGACTGAGTAAAAGATGAAATAAGCAAATAGTTGGAACAAGGCTTGATGGTACAATCCTTTAATCCCTGGTGCTGGGAAGGCAGTGGCAGGAGGTTTCCAGCCATTTGAAGGCTAGCCTGGACTACATAGTGAGTTCAAGAAACTCTTAACTACACACGCAGCAAACAAAACAAGAAAAACAAAGAGCTGGAAGGATAATCAGGACATTGTAGCAAAATGGTCATGAAATGAAGAAATTCTGAAAGATAAACATACTGATTTAAAAAAGTAACTAAAAAGGAAACTTGATCAACTATTATGGGCTTGAACTAGTGAGCCTCCATTCCCCTGCTATTGTCGTTTTGAGTCATGGCCCTTGCACTGACCCACATTCCTGACCTTTTAAAGGTTTTTAAAATACCTTTAAAGTATTAAAGTGCCCACACTGTGCTGGAACCTGGAATCCTCCTTGCCTCAGTCTCCCAGAGTGCTGTGATTGCCTGCACATTCCATCACGCCTGGCTGAATAGTATGTTAAATTATGGTTCTTAGTAGGACAGGATCTCTGTTGAAAGAAAAGGCAGGTGTGAAGCTCACAAAAATAAGTTCTAGACCGTAAAAACATCACACACACGGATGATGCCCCTGGTTGGGATGAGAGGAATATAGGGTTAGATCATACACTGAAGTCAACAACTTGCTTTTTTGTTTGACACAGAGAGTAGGAGGTACATTTACAGAGAGGGCCAACAGCACAGAAAGCCCTGGATGGGATAAAAGTACTTTCCAGTACTGGCAGATGGCCCAAAGAGAAAAATAAGAAATAGCTTGATGAAGACAGAGGAGTTGAGAGTGGAGATACTTTGCAAAAGTGAAAAAGGAATTAGTACTAAAATAAATACTAATGTGCCATTCGAATTTGTAGAGGGAGAAGAGTTGTAGACTTCAACAACTTGATCTGTTTGGTGGGAATATTTAAGTGACAGCTGGCTTTACTTCTTCATGATGGAGAAAGCTTTTTTGTTTTTGGCCTAAAATATTTCTTACAGTTATGTCTTGACATGTGTGTGCTGGGAATGGAAGTCAGGGCTATTCTGCCATCAAGCAGCTTTCCCAGTCCTTTTTATTTGTTCTCCACCCCATTTGCTCAGGCAGGACTGGTTTTGTACCTCCTGCATCAGCCTCTTTCCTATGCTAGGATTTCAGTAGTGTACCGCCACACCTTGCTTCACGTATGCCTTTATTCTTTGGTTTCTGTTGATTTCTGAGCATTCCTTTTGGATAGTTTTGTTTCCTAGAAAGAATTCTGGCTGGAAAGTGGGCCTCGCAAGAGCTCTAGCGCCTATAAGCAGAAAACTTCCTGAATAGTTAAACCTCTTTTGTGAGAAATGATTTGGTCTTCCTGATATAGTGAACTCTGGGTCAGCTTTTAAAAGTGGGGCTTGTGAGCTAGCAAAGAAAACTTCAGTGAAGCTCCTTTCTTAGCAGTTGGTGGAAAAATGGTTTATGGTGTGCTGTAGGGGAGGGAGTAAGGGAGTACACAGGAGATGGGGACAGAACACAAGTTGTGAGAAAGAATGATGGCAGGAAGCTAGCATAGAAAGGAATAGGAAATGCTGTAGGGATGGGGGACAGTCTTACTCTCTGCATGATTGACAGACCCAGGGTCTTCAAGCTGAGTCTCCAGTCCTGGCCCTTTTATATGATGGGGGTCTTACTAAGTCGCTAGGTTGCTCAAACTTTTAACCTCCTGGAAATTTGGGATTATAGGAATATTCTACTACACTTGGCTAGATGGGTGTGTGTGTGTGTGTGTGTGTGTGTGTGTGTGTGTATGTGTATGTGTATGTAGTCCAAGCTGGCCTGGAATTTACGGCAATCCTCCAGCCTCTGCCTCCCAAGTGCTGGTATTTTTTTTTTTTTTTCAGAACTGGAGATTGAACTCAGGCTATTCTACTGAGCTATCTCCCCAGCCCTGAAATTATTTTTTGTTTTTGACTATAATGTAGGGTGGTATATGTATGTATGTATGCATGTTTATGCATTTTTGAGACAGGGTCTTGCCATGTACTCCAGCCTGGCATTCATCTAACAGTAGTCTCCCTATCTCAGCCTCTGAGTGCTGGGATTATAGGTGTGTACCACCATGCCCAGCAAGGGCATAGTTTGAAGGCAGGAGAGGAAACGATGGAAAGCAAAGAATGGAATGCCTAGAGCACACTCTGATCAAAAACTCAGACCAGAAACACATGGCATTTTGTCTCTGTTCTTAGAAGAACCCTGAGGGTGCAAACTTACTGTAGCTGCCGTGACAGCAACTTGATGTAGAAAGGCATCATTATTTCTTCTTTATCTTCATCATCTTCCTCTTCCTTTTCCTCTTCCTCTTCTCATCCGTAGGAAGAGAAGAGGAATAACATCATCATTGTTATTATTTCTCATTTTCATTCTTTTGGCTTTTTGGGATAGGGTGTTGCTGTGTAGGTCAGACTGGCCTTGATGTCACTATGTAGCTCCTTCTGCTGTAGGCTTTCTGAGTGCTGGAATTATAGGTGTGTACCACCATGTTCAGCATATTGTTACTATTTTGACAGAGGGTCCCCCTAAGTTGTGCAGGCCAATCTCAGTTTGGCTGTCTTCCCACCTCTCTCTCTGCCTGCCTCCTGAGTGCTAGGAATGCAGATGTGTTCCACCATATCCTGCTGAGGATTGCACTTTAAATTGAAAGACATGGATTAAGACTCTATTTTAAGTTCTTTTCTTGGCACTGGTTGGAGAAGGCATTTCTTTGAGGCTTAGTTTTTCTGTCCCTTAAATGGGAGTAGTCACTAAAGATCCTTGTGGTGATTGTATAAATAATGCAAGCTTTCTGCTTTATTTTACCTTTTTCATTTCTTGGGAAATATATACTTTTTTAAATATTTCTGATTAAAGTTGTATTTGTAGATTTTTGGATTTCCAAGAAATGTCTAGCTCTAGTTAAATATGTGATTAAATTCTACAGGAGGTAGACACAGACCTTTGTGCGTTTGATTTGCATGCTTTGTAAATGTTAACGCTAGTCTGATGGTTTAAAATAATTTTATATGACATTTGTAGTTCCAGCTAACATCCGATCTCATCCCACCCCCCTCTTTTTTCTTTTTGATCTTTTTGAGACAGTCTCATATGCAGTTTAGGCTGGCCTTGAACTCACTTTATAGCCCAGGCTGGCCTTGAACTTACCATTGTGCCTCAGCCTCCCAAGTGCTGACATGCCTGGGTATTTATTGTTTTATTTTTTGGTTTTAGAGACAGGGTCTCTGTGTAGTTTCAGACAGGCCTTGAATTTACTATATAACCTAGGCTGGCTTTAAACTTGTAGTAATCCTCCTGCCTCAGCCTCTTGAGTGCTAGGATTGCAGGCAAACATCACTATACCTGGCCTAAAAATATGTAATTTAAAGCAGTAGGATGTTTATCTGGTATTAGTTTAGATAAAGCTGTTAGGTGAGTGACATAAGCAACATTTTAGTACAATTTTTAAATTGGGCCTCAAATGCATTTTGGTTCATGCTGTCTTCCTTTTCTTTTTTTGGCTGTAGTTTGCACTTTGCATTTACTCACTGCTAGAAATGATGTGCCAGCCTTAAGTGGGCAGTGGTGATCAGAACAGGGAATTTGGGAATTGTGTAGTTAGCAGTCTTTTCCAGGGAGGCAGGAGAACCACCTTTTATATGAATTCTTATACTAAGGGATGGGCAAAAGCTAGCCTCAGAGAGCAGAGATGGCTTGCTGCTCATACTTAAGAAGTCAAGTAGACAGCAAAAGATTTTTAAATTATAGAAATATTGAAAGCCAAGTGTGATTGTATAAGCCATGCTGAGGTAGGAGGATCACTCCCAAGTTTGAGGCCAGTATGAGCTACAGAGTGAATTCAAGGCCAGCCTGAACTACATAATAAGACTCTGCCTCCAAGAAACATAAAACAGACTTCCAAATTTTGAATTATAATTGTTTTAAATTTAAACAATCTTTTTGACTTCGTTTTCAGTATTGGTATTTTTTAGTAACAACGTTGGAAATGAGTAAATTGAAATCTAAAGAGATTGTTATGCTGTATGTAGGAGTTCATTTAACAGTAGGGAAGGTCTGTGATATGTACTATTTTGGCTGCTCAGGTTTTGAGATTTTGGCAGCCCAGTGAAGTCTTCCACTATGGAGAAATGTTGGAGCCAGGCACAAAGGTTTTTTCCTGTAATCCCAGCTCCTCATCTGTCTGAATCAATCATATTGCAAGTTTGAGGCCTTCCTGGGCTGCATTCAAGGCCAGTTGAGACTTCATAGTGTGATAGTCTGTGACAGTGTGTGTGGTACTCCTGTGAGATTCACCAGAGACAGTAGTGGGTTGGATGAGATGAGTTTCCTGGTTTATACTAATCACAGCTAGAATGGAGCATTGTGATCATTTGATTTACTAGCAGTGGTCAGTTTACACAGTTATCTCCAAAATATCATTGTTTGAAGTTAAAATATATAAAAAAGTAGCTAACAATTCTCATGTGAACATGTTTTAAAAAATATTTTGAAAATAAAAGGAGTGGGAGGGATAAAGCAGGGATCATTGTTGAACCTTATGACAAAGGTAAGTGACTATTTAATCTCAGTAAGTAAATATTTAATTTTTGCTCTTTGTCAGTCTGAGAAAATAAATACAGGAAAGCTTTTCAATTGTCTGTAATGTGAACATAAAATTTGAGATCCTGAGTTGAAGCTTGTCCCTCCTCTATTCTCAACACCTAGGTACGTTCTATGGATGAACTGAATCATGATTTTCAAGCACTTGCTCTGGAAGGAAGAGCAATGGGAGAGGTGAGTGAGCTGAAATATCAGAAAGTGGGTCTGTCTTTAAGGAAACGTTGAGTTGTCTTTCATCCAGTGTGTCCAGATCCAGTCTCCAGAAGTATGTGCTTGCTTTTCCTTGTTACCACCCTCATGACAGGAAGGGAATGCTGGAGAATTTTGACAAAAGTATATCATGATTGGAAGAATGTTAACTTTGCATAGTGACTGAAGATCAAAACAAAGCAACCACAATGTGAGCACAAATCATTAAATATTAATTAAGCACAAATTATTAACAATTCAGCTATAAATCGAGGCATTAAAATTTAAAAATTTTAATTTTGTATTTATCAGATGTCTTTACCTTTGCCTCATTTTTTATTAGTTAGATTGTTTGGCAGTTGGAAAAGGGAGCCTTAGATTGACTGCTATTCAGAATATGTCAGCACATTACTGATTGATTGACTGACTGATTGAGACAGGGTCTTGGAATGTAGTTCAGACTGGTTTGAACTGTGTAGTTCAGGCTGGCCACCCAACTCACAGTGACCCTCCTGCCTCAGCTTCCCAAGTACAAGTGTATGTCATGCCTGGGTGCAGTAACTTAATTTTAGAGTATGCTGTATTGTAAAGGGAGGGGAGGCTGTTAGATTTCTGGTTGAGTAATTTCAGAAGATAGAAGTTTGAGCCAAGTCATCCTTTAGAAGGAATTCAGAAATAAGAATATTCCTTTGTAATGTTTACAGTTTGTAAAAACATTTGCTCTCACCCCTTATATAGCCAGGTAGGGTTGCCATAATTCTAAAGCAAAGGAGATTATGGATAGCTAATGTACAGGCAACCTTTTATATTTCTAGCTGTTGGTAAGGAGCATATATTGATAAACTGTGCAGTTTGAATTCTTTTAAGATGTCACAAGTTCAGAAGTGGGCATTTGTTTGTGGTTTTCATTCTGGAAAATAGCTTTTCTCTTCTGTCTGTCGCATAACTAATATTTAAAATGCCTCTTAATGTTTTTAAGGAGGTAGAATTATTTTTCTCATGTATGTATGTATTCCATTTGTTAGACACATTTGTTCTTTGTTTCAGCAAATGTCATTTAATCCAGGCATTGTGCTAGGTTCTGAGGATTCAAAATTAAAGTTAATTCCTCTCCTGAGTTTACAACAAACATTTGCTGATTGCCTTTGTGGTTAGGCAGTGAATATTTAAAATCTTTTGAGGTTTTGGCTTGAAATTCCTACCTCCTTTGTTATGTTATTTTGCTTCCAACTTTTCTGACTCATCTTCTGGTCACAGAGGTCAGTTTCCTATCATCTTGGGTGCATGGGTTTTAAGAGATGATTGATAGGAGTGCTTGCCTAATATTATTGAAATAATATATATTAATAAACCCTGTGTGGCAAAACTTTGAACAGATAATTAACAGATTTGTTAAATTTGAGAATTGATAGAAAAACTACATTTACCTTATACTGCTGTGGTTCTAACCTGGCTTCTGCCACTAAAAATCGTAATTCCAGGTTGGTTTAAAAAATATGAATAACCTGTCATTGTTTTGTAAATACAGGTCTCAGGGTTGGTAGTTCTCTCTCTCTCTCTCTCTCTCTCTCTCTCTCTCTCTCTCTCTCTC